AATGCACTCTCTCGCACCAGAAACTGTGGCATTTATGGAAGGTTATGATAGGGATATGGGTGAAAAGTTAAAAAAAAAACATTAAACAATCACAATAAATTCATTGCTCAGCATCCGTATTGCTATCTAGCTTTTTCTGCAGTTAACTTCTTTGCTCTTATATCACCACTCTGCATGTCTGATGATGCTGTGCATAGTACTGTTGAATGTTGTAATAAAGGGTATTTCCGGCTTATCAAAGCTTTGCTAGAATGCCTCGCACACATCAAAGAGATCTGTGCCCTCCAAGCGCCCATATAAACACCAAAAACCTAGCAACATCCCGTATCATACAAACCGCCTGAATCCGTATTCCCAGTTAATTCCCAAACTCGCAAAATAATCCACCAAATATCTAGTTTGAAGGGTGTCCCCGCCTCCCTCCATCACTCCTCCATTCCTATTAAACCTCCCCTCCCTCCTCCTCCCCCTCCTCCTCCTTAAGGATACCCTTTAACCCCATCGGTAAATATTAAGACTGTAATACGCATTAACTTTCTCACTCTCATTAAATATCTCAATAGTTGCCTCAATCCATTCCCTCCTTTTCTTCAGCTTCTTCACCACGGTCGTCATGCGGGGCAACAATTCGTCTTTCTTCCCCATTCCCTGGTCAGGGCTTCGGCTTTTGAGAGTATGGGATCCGGAAGTGAACGCTTCCTTCCGGTGTTCTTGTTAGGTAGAGAAGGAGTGACGGAGAGGTTTCTGAGGTTGCTCGTGAGCGCGTGGGCGGATTTTAGGGATCCGGGGGGACGGGCGCGCAAGGGCCTAGCTAGGGGTCGCTGGGTAAGACGGCAAGATGGTCCTTCTATGGTATTACAATTGCGCGGCGCCCCAGCTTCTGCGTTCTCTCTTTCGTCACCCATATCTTCGTCGTCTTGATCGACAGCAGCAAGTCTCTCTAAGGCTCGTGGATGCTCGCCTGATGGTTTCGGTTTCGGGGCCTGCGGCGTGCTGCCTATCTGAGCGACCCCCTTATCTCCTACATGATGACGCTACGCAGGTTGTTGAGGAACATAGTGTCCTCATTGGGGCACACGTTGTCCAGGACGCTAGCCTCGAAGAAGAAATAAAGGATCAGGGCGTTGAGCAGGAAGCGGATGTTGGGCTTGTTTTTTTGCCCAACAACGCAAAGAGATTCATCAGAGGCACGCCGTCGAAGATGCTGCCCCGGATGATGCGGGTGTTGACGCTAGCGTGTCCTTCGATCTTGATGACCACTTTAGGACCCTTTGCATCGAACAGACAGAAAAAGGTTCAGACATAGAAGGCGTTGTTACTACCAAGGAAGAGCCACTTTAATGCTAGTACGTGGCTATTGTGTGCGCTTCCGGCTAGGAGGTCTTCGAAAATGAGACTCGCGGTTGAAGGAAGCACGGGGAACTTCTCCTAGAGACCGTCATCCATTTGGAATGTGTCAATAACTTCCCGAAGCTACTCCAAAGGCTCCCTCTATATGACTCTCTCTAACGCTTGCTTCGAGGAGAGATGCGAAGGCTGCATCATGTGAACATGTTGTTCAGTCAGAGGGAAAACAGTAGGTACATTCTTGTGGTCTCGCGTACCTGTTCTTCGGCTCTGGTGCTTCTGGAGCGACCAAATTCTGAACTGCTTAGGCTGAATTAACCTTCTCTCTATGGGGGGTGCTGGGTCTGATGCGCAGCGCTCGGATCGGGGGTTGTGTGGGTGAGCTGCGTGGGACAGCACAGAGGGAGAGAGCGAAAGAGAGAAAGAGAGAACAAAAATATTTTTCGCATATACACACGGGAAAATATCTTATAGTCATGCGAGGGAAATATCGCGTGAGAAGGTGGATAGTCGACATTGATGCAGTGAAGGTCTTGTAATTATTCTTTCACTGCCGCTAAGGAAACTATATCCTGTGCCGCAGCTGCCATTATGGTCTTACATTAGAGCAATGGCGTAGTAGAATGGTTTTGATGGTACATTATCTAAGAGCATGAGCTCTAGTTTATATCATATTTCATCATGCTGAATCGAGTTATGAGAATGATGTGAACGGGCTATGTCCTCTAATATAACCACTCTATTTTTTTTTAGGCGAAGAATACAACCGTAGGGCAATCTAATAATCAATGATAAATATTTAAATACAGGCCACCAATAATACACCCTTCATAGCGTATCGTGGCGCCGCGGATAGTATATATCCTTCGTTATGACTTTTCACGCCAATTTGGCCCTAAACTTCTCACCTTCTAGCTTCTAGTGATTAGAATTAAGCATCGACATTCATAACGGCGGGCATTATCTTTATTTTCTGAAGCAGACAAGAAGCTGCAAATTTACTTTATAAAAGTACTGTATATCTCAAACTCCGTCTAATATTGCCAGCCCACAAGACCATACATTCATACATACATGTCAGGATCAAGCCAGCCCATGCCTGCCATGCAAAGAAATCAAGCTAATAAACGCCACCCAATGCATCTCAGCACTCGGATCGCATCCTATCTACTCTTCCCCCTCGTCATCAGACTCAAGATCCGTCCGCTCGACAATCAGATTTCCACTTCGCCCAATCCTCTCCTTGATCGTGCCGCCTGCTTTCAATTCATACACCTCTCTAGGCATTGGCGAAACAAGTTGGAACTTATACTCGTGCACGAAATTGCCAGGTTCTCGTACCTTCTCATTAAGCTCATCAGACTGTAGGATATCATAGCATTCCACGAAAGCATACAGCTCCTCGATATCTGCATCAGCCGCAAATTTCCTTATCACACGATCAGCATTCGGCATGCGAAGGCTGATGCGAACAACATCCTTCTCTTCCGGTCCAGGTTCGCTGGGTAGAGAAGCGGCACGCCATTTGCGCCATTGGGCAAGGTTTTGTGCGTAGCGCTCTTTGGCCTGCTCGCGTTCTAGTGCCTCTTTCTCCTCGCGCGCTTTCCGCTCGGCTTCTTCGCGCTTTTTGCGCGCTCGTTCGCGGTCTTGGGCTAGAGAGCGCTCGTAGGCGCTGTCCTGCGCTTGCCGGATATTTCTTGAAGCTTGCTGCTCAGCACGTTGGGCACGTACGCGGCTTAGTGGTTCGATGTGTGCTTGCATGCTCTGGCGGAGTTTCGAGACGAATTGCGCTGGGGGTGTCGGTCCCGTGATTCGGGTTGCGACCCCCATTGCGGTGGACGACACTTGGGGTGTGTGGACTATGAGACATGCGAAGGGGAACTTGGTGCAGGTTAGGGCGGAGGAAACCTGGTAGGCCTCCGAATCCTGCACATTGCCTGCCCAGAGGATCATGTTGTTCTCCGGGTTCCGAAGGAAATCAACCACCTCCTGCGATAGCAATGTCTCTCGAATAAAGGAGGCAGTCTCGTCGTGCTCCGGCGATACCAATACGACAAGCAGGAACTTCAAATCTTTCTTCGCTAGATCGAACGCTTGTCCGTAGCCACCCTCGAAGAATGGAAGATTGTTACTGCCGTATTCCTCTTCGAACTCTCGGATGAACCGCGCGGCTGTATCCCTCGGATTCAATGGCCGTCGCCCACTGGTGTTCCTTCGGGCGGTGGGCGTATTGATACTACTTGCCGTCAACCGGCCCCATGTCCGCGGTATAAAGGGAAACAAGTAGCCTATGAATCGGAAGTATTTCGACAGAAGCGAGTACACCAGACTGAATGGTGCGAAGAGAAGACTTAGGATTAATGGAGCTTGGGTGGCAACTTGGCTCTCTGGCTGCGGCACAACGCGGGGCGCGGGATCGATGCGCCGCCGACTCGATGAAGAGGATCGTGATGAGCTCGTGAAACCATTCACAAGCGTCTCTTGTCGGCGACTGTCTTGCGGGGTGGGAGTATTTGCTGCGGCGGCGACGGGGTCTTCGGCTGGCTCTCCGTCGAAGAAGCGGGCGATTGCTATCTATGCAGGGCGATTATTCGCTTTGCATCTCGCGGGACGGTATTGAGGGATATTTACCTGTACGTTCCACTGACACCGTCGTAATATCGGGATTGCATCCTTGATCTCTTGGTTTGTAACTGCAGTAAATTGCTCGAGGGCAAGCTGTTGGTCCGCCGTAAGCTGCGCAATAGCCACTTCGGCGTCAGCCATGGCGACAAGAAACTGCAGGAGAACTGCAGTTATTTTGTAGCACACTGTGGTCCGTATGAAATGTGTCGAATATGCTGTGCGGGGCTCGGATATGTCGCTGGGGGAACAGGTGTATGTTCCAGCGCAGCCTGCGGCGATGAAATGCAACGTCCGCAGCAACGGCAACAGTAAGCTGTCGGCTACAAAAGTGAAAGGTTAGGCTAAACCTCGGTCCCGGGTGGACACTAGTGCAGAATAGGAAGATTTTCAACGGAATGTTCGTAAATGACTTTCAACCGCCTTCACGCCGGCCAAGAAGGAGTGGTGGAGTCAAACTCTTGCTCTTCCATAAAATTGGGAATGCCGTTGAATTACTGTTTGCGCTTGTCAATCGGATTTTCGTCAAGCGGACGAGCTTGTTCTGAGAGGCTGAACCAGGGTTGTACGCCACCAGGCAAGGCAAATGTCCGTGGGTTGGGGACGATTATTAGGTGGAATTGGAGTAGTTAGGCTGCCCACAGGCCGACCTTTGCGTACAATTAGAGAGGATGCATCTGTCTGCCCTCGTGACGGTTCGTACGACTTCGGTCTGGAATGTATCAACGGCGAACATGTATCTCCGGGGACTAGATTGCAGAAAAGGAATCTTTTCCTTCGGCTTTGATACTTGAGCGACAGTCTCCGTCGTTTGATGATCCCCAGTCTTACGGGGTACGAGTTGGAACAGTACCCCAACAAGAGTTCCCCACTCAGCCGTGATCCCATTCGTCTAAAATTGCCAAGATACCCCTCACTCGCGAAGCATGTGTCGGTGTACGTGCCCCGTATGCGCGTGGCATAATTCGTCATTTCTTTCTTTAGATCTATTGTATTTAACACAAAATTTTCACCATCAGTCATCAGTAAATGCCAGCTTGGCGCAGTGGGTGAGTTCCACTGATCATTCTAAAATGATCGCACGATTTACTGACATCATCAAGTAACGCGTCGCACTTGTACCCCACATGCAAGTACATGCGAAGATCACTGGTTCGATTCCAGTAGTTGGCATATTTGTTTTTGTCTTTTTGGGATATTTTGCTTGTTGGGATCCTTGAACGGCCTGGGTAGCGATTGGACAGGGCAGCAATATTCTGGGCGAGGTGGGGCCGTGTCGCGTTAAGCTGCCTGGGAATTTGGCTTTTCGGGGGCATCGAGTAATCTTGCAGTTGAGTTCCATAGCATAATTAGACCGCCATTAAAGATATCAAACGATCTCCAACATTCTTTAAGTGGGCGATTATCTCTTCGAAAGGTAACGTAGAGCAAAGTCTAACCTTCTACTCTAGTCCATAATGTCGTTTATACACTAACAAGAAACATCCCTCCACGACAATCGCTCAATACCTTCCTACGCTCTGCACAAAATATTTAATGCTTCTACGAGATTGTAGGGACTCTCTGCGCGTATTGAGTTTTTTATATCAGAAAATACAATGAAGAAAAAAAACCTCTAACGAGTCCCGTAGTTGCGGTGGAAGATCCAGCTAGTGAAGCAACTGTAGAAGCGTTCAACTCCGAAATTATATCCTCTGGGTGCTGTTCCCGCCGTAGAACACAAATTATAGATTTTTACCGACCATGACTATGTGCGAGCTGACCCTGTTGTCTCTCAACGCTAGATTTTGCTCGACCTCGTTCTCAACTACACAGAGACGCCGTGGGGATACGCTGCCGAACAGTAAGAGTCTCCGGTTATGTTCACGCTACAGGAATGAGTTACTGTCAGAGCCCTCGTGCGTGGATCAAGGCTTTGAAATAAGTTCTCGTTCAGGGCTTTCTCGACATGCAGTCTCTGTAGGCAATCAACCCAACTTGTCTTGACAACTAATTTTTTCCATCCGACAATAAAGCAGCCTTATTTATTATTGAATTAGTATAGAATTTCATTATAGTCACACCTCCTTCAACAACTCGTGACCCAGCACCTATTCGAATTCCGATCCTAGTTCTACGAATTCGGCCACGTCGACGTCGAAGACGGTATCTCGGCCGAATCTTCTTTCCTTCGCCTCTATCCCAGTCCATTTCAGGATTAAGTTCTGGCCAATTCTCTGTGGTCCTAAGGCCCCGCAGGATAAGTTTGTGGGTAACTAGATGGATGATATCGATGGTAGCATGTCCTGGACGCTACATCGAAAGGATATTGAGGATGCGTCAAAAATGGAGCCACGTCAAGAGCGGGACAAGGAACATTTAATCGAAATAGAAGTAGTACCCAGCATTCAAGACCAACTTAAGGGAAAGTTATCAGCAATCCTCACTCCCCCCTGTCTCCGATTCTTTGACTTGCTACGCGAGTTTCGAGACGTGATTTACCACCTACTTTGCCCGGAGCGTATCTATTGTGACTACAACACCCTCAACTAAAAATGTAGAATGCTGGGTGCTAGCAGAGTACGAGCCTCTCACTGTTTATAGAAGACCAGTTACACAAGTCCCTAAATGGCTTACTCTCTCCCACTATTTCCTTCACGAGGGACTCGAATACTTCTGCCGCAACTGCTCTTGGCTGGCATATATTCCCGGTCGAGATTGGGCATTAGACTTTGCCGTGAGGAGGGATGAAATGATGTTTTTGCTGTGCAAGCCGTTCAAGGGTAATATATACACAATTCGGTGGGTACATTAGCACTGGCCATCTTCAAAAACGATCTTTATTAGCATCACGGCAGAATAAGCCTTGAATATCGCAAGGCTGAAGAAGCTGGAACAAGGATTGGCGTAGCGGGATGAGAAAGGATCCTCGGTATAGGGTTTGATATCCTCAGGCTAGTGGATAGGGCAAACGATTTCAAGGACGTTAACAAGGTATGCGTCGTTTCTATGGTCATGAGGCAATAGGCTAGGGAGATGCAACGGCTGGGAAATATCATAATCTGAGGGAAGGCTAAGCTTGCGATACATCTGGATAATATTTTCAAATGGCGCGTTCTTGGAACAAGGGATGATCATGGAACGCTTAGGGATTAAGCTTTAGGGTGTATCGACTAGTCGATTACCGCAGCCGATAGTATAAAAAGACTTGAGTGATTAAATTCTGCTCGAAAGGTGGCGAATAAGAATGGATGTCTAGAGAAATTCTCTTATAGGGTGACCATATATAATAGGCGGAATGTAGTCGGCATTCCTTCGAATTATGTAGTTAGAAGTTGATGTGAAGAATTGAAAGACTCGAAACGTTAGTACAATTATTGTTTCCGGTGTTGAAGAATATCTCATGGCTGGATTTCTATATATACTGTCATGGGGATTTTCGGCTAGTCTGCCGAGCTGTATCAGATATCGACGTACGATATCACGGTCGATATCACGCCGGATATCACGCTGGATATCAGCTGATATACCCCTTTTTCATGTACATAAATATGGCCCGCTGGCCATCTTCAATCAAGTAGTTCAGCTCCTCATCTCCCTCCCTGAGACAAGATTCGCCTCTCACCACATATACTATTGTGAGTGGTAGTATTGGGCATTGTTGCTGTAACGTTCTGTGTAGTAGGATTCTAATTAAGGACTAGCCGCGATATGGCCGGACAGGAGATGAGATAGTATATATAACTCTTTGACCCTAAATAGATAGGAATCAATGCATTCCTCCTCCTTATCTATCCTAATACCTTATAGATACGCATTCCTTTTGCGACTCGGCTTCGATCTCTTCTATGTCTTATCAATTACAGTGCCTTTTCAAAAATACCAAGATGGAAAGAAAGACATATATTGATGCTATCATTAAGTTCCTTCCACCTTAGGGGAAAAAAGGCTAGGATATGATAAATACTAGGGCCCCACAGCATCCTCCGTAGAAATTCATTCAAACTTGCTCCCCTTTCGACTCCAATTTGTCCTGCTTTTTTTGTGTCCTCAGGTTCTCCCATCCAGCATTGTCAATCGCTGTTAACTTTTTATCAACAGCCCACTCCTCAACTCCAAGCCCCTCCCTTGTCAGAGGCGTGTGATTATACCTCCAGTCCCATACAGCACGGTACCTCATCCTATACGCCAACACCGCAAATATGCTCCCAATAATTCCACCAGCGATAATATCGCCAGGGTGATGCCATCTATCCACAATTTTGCTCCCCGCAATACACACCGCGACAAGTATCGGCGCACTGAACACTAAAAGCTGCCAACATCTGGTCTGCCGATTTGCGAAGATCTTGAACTTCGCATTCAGCCAGAGTACTAGAAAACCGAAGCCAGCGAAAGCGGCGGAGGAGTGTCCGGATGGGAAGGACATCAAGGCTTCACGGATATGGCGGTCTTCGCCTGTGCAGATATCTCTGTCGTAAAAGAGGGAGCCGAAGCCTCTGCCGGGAGAGGGGAGAATAGGGTCACAAACTGAGAGAAAGTGTGGACGTAGACCGCCGATAAAGAGCTTCATGAAACTCTGAAACAATGTGGATGCCGATAGTGCGTAGCCGAGTCCCATGATCTGCTAGCAATTAACACTCAACCAACACCGATGGTTGAAGACGACTTACCGCTGAGTTCGCATCATAGAAGCTCCCGATTAAAAAGATAGAGGCGAGGCCCATGACAGCAAATGGAACAAAAAATGAAATGACAGCTGATAACCATGTTGGAATATACTCCCTCCTGAGAGGATAAGCATACTCTGGCCACACGACACCGCCGTTTTGCCTAACGGGAAATAATTGACTGGTAAACAGTGGAACCCATATCCAAAGCACCAGCGCCCCGATGTCGGCAATAAGAAGTGTAAGTAGGTCTACCCAATTATCGCGTAGGAAGACGCGAAAGGGTGGTTCGTCCGAGAAAAGGAGGTACCCGCGATCCTGGAAAATGTTTCGTTTGGAGGACTGCGTTTGACTGGGTTTTGTAGAAGGCCGCGATTTGGATGAAAGATAGCGATTTAAGGAGGCATGATAGGGTTCGGGGTCGGCGACCGTGCCGTCAACGTTGGGTAGTGATGCCATGGCTGGGATGGGATGAGATGGCTATTTGCTTGGGGATGGAATAAAACTTGCGAGGCGGGAGTCTACTTGGAATTCATCTTGGACTAGAGTGAAGGAGTAGTTGGAGCCTCCTGCCGAATGCAAAATTGAGATAAGCAAGGGTGAGGGTAGGACGTTGATGCCTTCCATAATCAATTTGCGACGTTTTTCACTATTCGGGGCTAAACATCCATTATTGGCTTTCATTACTGGAAATTGGAAGATTATCTATTTAGCTTTAAGCCGGCACTGTAGTCTAATCCGTGGTCCACAGTGAACAATATAAATGAAAAATTGATATTTGAAATTTACTCAAGAAGGGTTAAGAATAGTTCTTTACCATTGACAACTGAAAATATCCAGAAGAATTACCATTCCCGCGCGCGAGTCATGCCCGACGCCAATCTCTCCTGATCCACCTCAAGGTTAAGGCTAGCAACAAGGAAGCCAATATGATGGGGTTTATTGGCTCGTGACGAATGCCCTGAGGTAGGTCACAAAGAATAGACGAGAAAAAGGGTCTGATATGCATTCTCATTGTAAAATTTAGCTCGCCCGAATTACTAACATGCTTGATTGCTGAAAAATTTTAGGGTCAAGTTTCGACACAAAATATCTCATAGAGAGCACAAAGAGACTAATTGTCGTGCATTAGCTTATCAGAGGCGCCAATACAGTACCTATGCAAGAATCTACGGCATCAAAAATACGTCCGCTATTCAAGATAAAAAGAAATTAAGTCGCCGCTAGTCAAAATAGATGTGTAAAGTATCAGAGCAGATGAGGAGAACTGTGTTCATATCTATGGAGGATCAAGGCTATTTATACTGTCTGTTCTAGGTATCACATGATATCAGGGCCAATCTATAATAGGGCTCGTGCGATACATATAACCTTACAAGATGTTCTACCAGAGCCTGGCAAAATAAGACCGAGAAGTCGCATGAATTGACTACACCATATCCACTGTGAATAATCCCGTGATCATGACACTTCGAATCTACAACTCCATGTAATTCCCCCGCTTTCCCTCCCTCCTTGTCACTC